GCAGTGGATTGGTGACCCTAATTATGTCCAACTGTGTGTGGGTATTTGTATTTGTATACAAATACCCCCTCTCTACTCATGAGCAAAATCCTGTTGGTATAATAGCTTTGAGGGGGGGGATAGTTCAGATTGGAAGCCAGAAACATTTAATGTAAACTCAAGGAAAGATTCTTATCCTCCTCTTCGATTCCAAGGCTCCCGAGAGCTCACTTTTGTCCGAGGGAAGATTTTGGGAGCCTCAGAATGGGGAAGGGAAAAGCCTTTAACAGCAAAAAGGAAAAAAAACAGCTGGGTCATCAGTGACAGCCCTGATCCCAGTGGTGGTGATTGGCTGATGATTTTTTACTATTAGGAAGCCCTGGGGAGCCTCAGAACCTGAAAGAGGGAGAACAGAAAACTTCCCATGAGTTTAAATTAAATGTTTCTACTGCCCAATCCTTGTTACGCCAGTTCAAAGTTATGTAACAGGAAACAGACAATATAGCAGACAATGTCATGCAAAAGAAAACAACAGAGCAAAAAAAGCAAAGCAGGCAGAGATTACTGTTTGTTTCATGGCTACTTGCCCATTTTAAGCCTTAAAAGAGTTGTTTGCACCTTAAAAATCAACATGTCCTTCTGTCCTAATTCTGTGTACTTGTAGAGACCTTAGCAAGGAAAAAAAACAAAAAACACTTTATCTCACTCTTGACTGGAGGCAAAGAATTTGAATGGCTGCCAAATTCCATGCTAAGGTGTCTCATAGAGGAATTTAGATATATTTTTTCACTTTCCTAAAGAAGGCTGCCATTTCAATATGTTTCTGCATTCTGGATATATAAAAGCTCAAAGCTGTCTATTTTTCTTCATCATTTAGATGTGAGTGTTCCACAAATGTCCATCTTCCTTCCAACTAGTGTTTGCTTGTTCTTGTTGTCAAGACTGGTCCTATCATGAGTCAGAGCAAGGCAATTAAACCAGCCTCAGATGCTGGGAGTTAGTAGCCAATGATCAACTGTTGTTCCAGCACCATGGATAGAGACTGTCCTGTCACCTCATAGCAAGAGGATTTCAGGGGCATTGACTCTGACATTCACTAATAAAATAATAATCAAGAACTGAGTAATTAAGCAGCAAGAAAAAGAACATTGGTTGAAAGTGAATTTGTCTATGGGGATTCAGCAAACCAGCAGAGTTTATTACATTGCTGGTACCAATTCAGCTAAAGTAGTGATTTTGCCTTGAATCCAGCTAGCACTTCCAATCTAAGTTCTTCTTGTTTAGACCTTTAGTCATGTCTAACTCTTCATGACCCCATGGACCAGAGCATGCCAGGCCCTCCTGTCTTCCACTGCCTCCTGGAGTTGGGTCAAATTCATACTGATCGTTTCGATGACACTGTCCAACATCTCGTCCTCTGTCAGCCCCTTCTGCTCTTGCCTTCACACTTTCCCAACATCAGGGGCTTTTCCAGGGAGTCTTCTCTTTTCATGAGATGGCCAAAGTATTGGAACCTCAGCTTCAGGATCTGTCCTTCCAGTGAGCACACAAGGTTGATTTCCTGCAACATGGATAGGTTTGTTCTCCTTGCAGTCCAGCAGACTCTTGAGAGTCTCCTCGAGCACCACATTTCAAAGAATCAGTTCTTTGGCGGTCAGCCTTCTTTATGGTCCAGCTCTCACTTCCATACATTGCTACTGGAAAAACCATAACTTTGACTATGTGGACCTTTGTCAGCAAGGTGATGTCTCTACTTTTTAAGATGCTGTCTAGGTTTGTCATCGCTTTCTTCCCAAGAAGCAGGCATCTTTTAATTTCGGGGCTGCTGTCACCATCTGCAGTGATCATGGAGCCCAAGAAGGTAAACTCTGTCACTCTCTCCATATCTTCCTCTTCTATTTGCCAGGAGCTGATGGGACCAGTGGCCATGATCTTAGGGTTTTTTTGTTGTTGTTGTTTTCTTTTTGCTGTTGAGCTTCAGACCATTTTTGCACTCTCCTCTTTCATCCTCATTTTAGTTCACTGACACCCAGGATGTCAATGTTGATTCTTGCCATGTCCTGTTTGACCACATTTGGCTTACCAACGTTCATGAATCTAACATTCCAGGTTCCTATGCAGTATTTTTCTTTGTAGCATCGGACCTTCCTTTCACTTCCAGGCACGTCCGCAGCTGAGTGTTCTTTCGGCTTTGGCCCAAACACTTCATTAGCTCTGGAGCTACTTGTACTTGTCCTCTGCTCTTCCCCAGTAGCATGTTGGATGCCTTCCGACCTGAGGGGTCATCTTCCAGATCATATCTTTTATCCTTTTATTTCTATTCATGGTGTTTTCTTGGCAAAGATACTGGAGTGGCTTGCCATTTCCTCCTCCAGGTGGATCACATTTAGTCAGAACTCTCCACTATCACCTGTCCATCTTGGGTGTCCCTGCATGGCATAGCCCATAGCTTCTCTGAATTACTCAAGCCCCTTCACCATGACAAGGCAGCAATCCATGAAGGGGAATCTAATTAGGCCCATTGAATCAATTGGATTTACAAAATGTTGTATTTTGTGGTTGATTCAATGGTCTACTCTGTAAGTAGGCCCATTGAATCAATTGGATTTACAGAAATGTTGTATCACAATTTTGTGGTTGATTCAATGGTCTACTCTGGGATGACTAGCCACTGGGTAGAGGCCTATGTATCACTTAAAAGAATGGTATATCTTGAACTATGACTACTATCTTTCGCTAGATTGGAATGAAGAGAATAAAACAAATAATTCTAAACTTAAGAAAAATGAACTCTAAATCTGTAAGTCTGATTCCAAAGACTGAACATCCTGAACATGTTTTCTTTAAGGAAGTTTGGCTTAATGGGGGTTATGTTTCCTGGTTAAAAAAACACACTCACTCACATACTTTAAGGATCAGATCCATAATTTTGCCAGTGAAACTTTCAAAGCACTTGTTTTCTAGATTACATGATTCCCAAGACTAATTAGAGACACTTAATACCTGCTGATTTGTTTTAATAAAAACTGAGGGCATGACATGCCTCTGGATTTTAATATTCTGTAAAGAAATTATGAAGTAAATAAGGAATGTGTTTTCTTTAATTCAATCAAATATATTGTCAGTAAAGATTCAATAGCATGCTCATTTAATTACAGAGGAGAAACCATGTTTCATTCTCTGGTGAAAGGCGTGATTTCAAAATTGTATTCTTCATTTTAAAATTGCTTCCCTCAATAAAGGATAAGCTTGTTTGTGGGAACTATTCCCATCTTATTTGTATGGGATGAGCTCCTTTTCATTATTTATTCTATAAATGCTTCCCACACCCAGGGGAAATGTGGATCTTCAAGTAGCAGCAATTGTGTTAATCAAACAACTTTGTGCGTTTTGGGACTGTCCAAGTTTTTGTCATTGCATTAAAGGGCACAGACGATGAAATCACTGGCTTGTAATGTACTAGTGATTGGATTAACTTGTCTATTTTGTGCAGTCTGTTTGAAGACTTATTGGAGATAAAGTGGAAAAGATTAAATCCAAAGGGTTGACCTTTGACTAGTTTTCCTCTTGAAAAGAGCTCACAAGTCTTTAACGTAAGCCTACTGCACTTGAAACGTGCACATATGCTTTATTTGGAATTAAAAGAGACCACAGATGGTGAATGTCATTTTCAGCTGTTTAAAATGGGGCTCTAGGCCTTGGACTATTTTGACTAGATAAGCACTTTGGGTCGCATTCAAAGTTGTATCTGGCTTCTTGTGTGATCTCTGGATTTCTCATGCAGCCTGTGCATTCTCACAGTTCATTACAAACTACACTTGAAGGGCCCAACATGCCCAGGAACAAATTTCTAGGAGGGCACAACAACAGCTGAGATGAAAGACAAAGCTTAGGTAACTGGTGACAACAACAAAAACAAACAAACAAAAAAACCCGGAAAACAATGGGTCACAATGGTGAACAACATCAAGATGATATAATGGCATTGAATGGCATTGAATTTTAGCCAAAAATACTCACAACAGCTTTGCAAAAGAGAACCATGAAATGTAAATGTTTTAGCCAAAAATACTCACAACAGCTTTGCACACTTCCAACCTAAAAGGGTCCCCTAACAATGGCTGAAATCCGGCTGCTCAGTGTTAAGCCAAATCACAACTTCCAATCCTTTCCTCCCTAGGAAACAACCCAATCCTCCTGTGATGCTGAGAGGTGCACACAGACGCTAACTTTGTGTGTTTATGCACACGCCCAAAGCATTGCGGCCAGGCAGTTGGTTTACCAGGGAGGAACGGACCAAATGTTATGACTCCACTAGCTAATGCTGAGTCCATAAGTCCTGCTAAGTTCTCAAGTGATGAGCAGATTCCATACCGAAGGAAAGAGAATGGGAGCAGCAGCGAGAAAGAGGTAGGGAGTTAGGGCTTAGTGAGTATCAAGCCAAGCCCTGCACGATAACATGGTGTGTATGCACATGCCTTCGCAACTGATGCCAAGAATCTAGGTTCCTTCAGCCCACAGGACCTTGTCTTCTTGCATACCAGAGTTGCGACAGGGACTCTGTCCCAGAACCTCTACAAGGTACAAAAATTAGTGAACAAGAATTGATTGATTGATTGATTGATTGATTGATTGATTGATTGATTGATTGATTGATTGATTGATTGATTGATTGATTGATTGATTGATTGAGCTTATATGCCGCCCATTTAGACATAGTCTACTCTGGGTGGCTTACAAAACCCAGAATAAAAACAAATTAATATGAAAATAACAATTTCCAACATTTACAGAAAGCAGAGTATTTTAATTTTAGCCTTTGCTCCTTGTTGCATTATCTTCCTTTTAAAACAATCATTCTTTTTCAAGTTCCTACTGCAGTATTTTCACCCACTTGTAATGCACCGAGTGAAACACAAGGAATTCTCTAGATAGCAGACATCAAAGGATTCATTCTTCTTCTGCTCTATGGGGAGAGAACATCATTTTAATGCCCTGTTTGTTTTGTTGTTTCTTGCCAGAGAGTTGATACAGTTGCATGGAAAAGAAGACAGAGACATTGCAATGAAGCTTCTGGTTGAGTGGACATCTTATGGCCTTGAAGATGTCCAGCTTGTAAATTACACAGTCCTACTTGACCTGCCAGGCTCTTCTCCAAATACAGTGACTCTGAAGAACAGTCGTGAATGCTTTTATCCTACTGGACAGCGATGTGACAAAGAAACACAAAAGCTTCATAGTCAAGACCTTCTGTACTCTTATGCTGCTTACTCTGCCAAAGGAACTCTCACGGTAATGTGACTATTTGTCTCTGTCATTTTGTTGGAAAAATTAACGAGGAAGAAACAGCTTCTATATAGGTTTAAGCCAGTGGGATGATGAAGCATATGTCAGGCTTTAAACAAGCTGAAGAGGTGTGAGTAAACGTATGACTGTATGACTCCATTTTGGGCATGCTCCATCTCAGTTATGCTCCATATCTTTTTAAGTGGAGGCTGGGAAACATATATGCCCTGTTGTGGATACATGCAGAGAGAACAATCCATGTAGTTTTGAAATCTAGAATGATGTTCCCATATTTGTTGAGGCCCAAGGCTGTGAATCATTATACCTGAGAAAAGATTATTTTTAAGAGGTTGTGGGTGAGGAATGTGGGATGTGTTGGACGATCACTCTCATGGTTGGCTGTTCTGGCTTATGTCTGATGGGAGTTGTGGTTCAAGAAAATATGGGGTGATATAAGTACCTGACTCCAGCAATAAATGCCAGATTATAGTCTAGCTATTTGGCCCTTCCCTTGAAATGGAAGAAGTTGTGGATCAGTGGTAGGGGACATGCATGCAGGCAGATTCACCCAGAGGAACAAAAACAGCTGGTGTTGTGAAGAAGCCCTGTGTAAGAGCTCCCAGCCTCCAATTTTTGGTTACTTTCTCCACCTGTGGTGGATCTCAACAGGACTGAGGGCAGCCTTCTCTCTTATTGGATATAAATGATGTTCTCAATCCCATTTTCACCAGGAACAATGAGGTTTGTATTTGAACTCAGATTCCTCTTGTAGGAAACAATTTTTAGGTCAGCAGAGAGGAACCAGTCTCCCCGTTTCTTAATTCCTTCCATTGTCACCTGACCTTTCCCTCACCAAACGCAAGGGGACATATATGGCTCTCATTCTTACAGTACCCCTCTGAAGTGGTAGGTCAGAGTGATTGGATCAAGAAAGTTCAGTTCCATGGTTCAATGGACAATCACTGTTGGATTTTAACTGTTGCACAGCATTGTTTCTGCTCTCTACTATTGCCTTCCTCAAGGTGAGGCATTATTTCCAGAAGAACTGACAGGTGGTTGGTAACCAATTTAATCTTGTGGGCATTTCTTAAATGTCTACTAGGTCAGTGGTCCTCAACCTTGGGCCTCTAGATGTTCTTGGACTTTGGCTCCCAGAAATCCTGACCAGCAGAGGTGGTGATGAAGGCTTCTGGGAGTTGTAGTCCACTGTACTAGGTCATGGTCTGTGATTTCAGCTGAGCGTTGTCCCATCCCACTATCATCTCCCCTATGGACTGTCAGGGCTTTTGGGATAATAGGCGTTATGGTTGAAGTTTGTAGGATAGATGTATTGTCCGTTTATGCAAAGGAGAACTAGATAGATGGTGAGGTTAAAATCTCTTTGTTTCAATTCTGTTGCATTGCTCTTAATCCAACTCACTCTTATTTGTTGTCCTTGTCTCGCAATGGGTTGTAAGACTTGCCTTCTGCCCTAACCACACTGAAATATGTACACCATTTGTGAGCATTTTACCGAATGTACGCATCTAACCTATTTTACCACATTTATACATCCTCAAGTGTGTTTGTGTGTGTGCATTCTTTACATTCACTATTTAAATGTATTGATTTTTAAGGTGAGGCAAGCCCTTTTTCTTCCACAAGTCCTGGAGGGACAGAAATCTTCCTCTCTCTTTTTCAGACTCTCAAACCAAACAGAACTCTGCTCCATCCCTAGTTTAAAGGCCAGGTATACACAATTTAGGGGATGTGGTGGCGCTGTGGGTTAAACCACAGAAACCTCTGTGCTGCAAGTTCAGAAGACCAGCAGTCATAAGATCGAATCCACGTGACGGAATGAGCTCCCGTCGCTTGTCCCAACTCCTGCCAACCTAGCGGTTCGAAAGCATGCAAATGCAAGTAGATAAATAGGTACGAACTAGGTGGAAAGGAAATGGCATTCTATGTCTAATCATGCTGGCCACATGACCATGGAAACTGTCTACAGACAAATGCTGGCTCTGTGGCTTAGAGATGGGGATGAGCACCATGACCTAGAGTCAGATATGACTGGACTAAATGTCAAGGGGAACCTTTACCTTACATACACAACTTAGACCTCTTCAAGCTGGCTGGCCAGGTTTTTCACTGCTCCCCAGGTATGGCAGTCCCAGCACTAACTACAAGACTGCAAAACCTCTATGGGTTGAAATTCAGATCTCATAGTTTGTCCAGATTACGTTTTTTGGACTGCAGCACCCAGAGTCACCCGGTCAGCAAGACCAAAAGGAATCCAGGATTTGTAATCCAGAAAGTAAATTATCCAAGCTCTGATGGATTTTTCCATCCCCTTCCTCTATGACCGGGACAGTTTCATGCCTGAACCCATGGAATTGCTGCCTTCACATCTAGTTGTACCTCCAAGAAAACAGCAGAAATAAAATGTCTCTTAAGCCCTCAGTAGACAACAAAGTCAGAAATCACAAGAAGAAGGAGACGGGCAGATATGAACTGGAAGAGATCCTTCAGCATAAGGATGTATCACTGGAGGAACTGGAAGTGATCCTTCAGCATAAGGATGTATCACTGGAGGCCAAGGCTCCAGTCATATTGTGATATTTCCAGTTTGTATGTAGAGAAGTGAAAGCTGGAGAGTGAAGAAAGCTGACAGGAAAAACAGGGTTTCCTAGGTATATGAGATATTTAAGGAATAGCTTTACCTGTGCCATGCTTCATGCTTCTGTGAGTTCCCACAATCACCCAGGGATTTGAAGCCAGGTCTCCTGGGTCCTAGCTCAACACTGTATCCACTCCATTCCACTCCATGCCACCCCACTCCACAGGTTCACATTAATTCATAACTTAGAACCTGGTAGCACATAACAAAAATAAACCTGAAATAACAGGGTAAGTTTGGTCAGGAGTCTGGTCTAGAGAGAAGTCCCAAAAATAAAAAAAACATCAGAAGCATCAGTTTGTGTGAAGTATTAATTAGCTATAATGCAGCACTTCTCTTGCCATGATACATATGAAATTACTTCTCCCTTGTACACACATGACAAAAAAGATCCCTCTGGGGAACATACTGAGTACAGTGTACATACCTAGTGCAGAAATACTTTAGGAGACACCATAGATACTAAGAATGTTAAGACCATGGTGTTAATTCAGATGGGTAGAGAGGATGCTAATTGACGGGTGGAATGTGATCTTTTGAACCTGACATATATGCATATAATTTGTAATTCATCGTTCTGTTATGTGCTATATTGACACTTTGCATGGAGGCACACTGGCCATGAGCTTAATGTAGGGACGTTGGTGTTATGCATGGGACTTTTGTAATTTTCTTGGACTCAGGCACCAAAATTCCCAAGGAATTTCTCCAGCCGAAACTGTGGGAACTGCTGTAAAAAAATCAAAGTCTTCAGAAGAGTTTTCATTTTTTCACTAGTGAAAATGAATCCTCTGTCATGCACTGTTATGTTATTGTGAAGAAGGATATGGATGGATTGGGTAATCTCCTTTGGAGCTGCAAGAGGCAAGAGGACCAGTAGTTGTTTGAAAGGCACTCTATACAGAGCCCAATGGACACAGTCCCCTAATCCTTTGCAGCTCCCAGGGAACTGAAGTCCGACAAATACAAAAGTATCATGCCTAATATGTATGAGTGTACATTTGGCCTCAGTGTGCCTGCCTCCCTGTAGGGAAGGACACAAAAGCTTATCCCTTCCACCAACTATAGTATGATGGGAATAGTGCTCCGAATTTGCCTTAAGTATTTAATTCAGTTTAAAGTATGGTAGCTACCCTTTCAAAGATGAAACTACAACATATTTGTAACATAACTCACATTTGAGCTGTTCTTGAAAATAGCTATCATTGGCTGCAACCCAGTAGTAAGTTACAACTAGAGTAGGTCCATGGGATTTTGCAAATCAGCACCTATATACATTCTGTTGATTCAACGGGCCTACTTTAGTTGTGACTTAATAAGTGAATGCAGCCATTGATTCATCCACGTTGCTGCTGTCTTCTTCTTTTCACTTCAACTGCAAGCAAAAAAGGAGAGAGAAAGAGCTATTAATGACTTTACAAAGTCTGGCTGCCAGACAAGCCAAGGGACTCCTCTGGTTCTGATAATGTTATTTGCAGAACAGCAGCACTCTGCTTCTTTGAAAAGCTGTCATGTCCATTTATCTTGTGACTATTTTTGTAGCCGGTTCCCCAGTTTGTGCTTTCTAGTAACCATCTGAGAAGCATTTCTGGTATATGAAAGCTTCTTTTGAAAACACACTTAGTGCAACTGATGGATGGCTCACTTTTGCTACCTCTCTGTAATTTATTATGTGTTGGAAAAGTGACACCGTTTACCCCGTTATAGTGACAAGTAGGGTCAGGGAATGATTTTGCAAAACACAACCCTGTTGGTAACAAAAATGTACACTTCAGTGTCTATGCAGAGGGCTGATCATATTTCAGGACAGTAGGAGAAAACGAACATTGGGAGTGTTATTTTTATGCCTAGCAAGCCAGGGACAAATTGCTATTTAATAGGCGTATTCTAGTCATTCGATATGTTTCACACTCAGTTTGGGAAAAGCATTATCTCTCTTTAAACATGTTGCTACATCCTGCGAAACTTTCTATAGCACATTTTTCAGGGTTATCTCTCATCACATTGCCAGAAATCCACCTTTGAAGAATGAGTTTATATACAATCAAAGTTGAGGGATGGACTACAACTCCAATCAGCCCCAGCCATGGTGAAAGATAAAAGCTGAGGAATCATATAATCTGTGCATCATTGCCCTGCTTTGAGCTAAAGCATGGTTATGCATGTATGTACTTCCAGGGTTAGAAGTGTGTTCAGGAAATAAATGCCAATATCTTATTAGTATTCTGAACTAAGAGTAGAGCCACCGAATTAATCAACATTCATGTAAATCCCATTAGATCAATGGGTCTACTCTAGTTGGGACAATCAATAGAATACTGTTCCCTTTTTAAACCAAGACATCTAGAAA